CCCGCCGCTGAATTGGCACAAATGGCTAGTGTTGCTGCTCGGATTGGCTTTGTCCGCTTGGCCAATTGCCTGCGATTATAGTTCCATCACCGAGAAATTTGGAGCGGAAGCCGTTGCTCGATGCAATGAAAAGTGTCCCTTCCAGGTTTATAAAATACTAGCTATACCCGTGCGGCTTCATCCGCATGAATTTATAAAAAAAATATTTTATTGATACGTTTGTCAAATTTTCAATTGCAAATGGCAAAATTACCGTTACCATAATAACCTTGCTTTATTAGTATTGGCAGCTTGTAGATTATAGTCCCTTTCCCACATTAAGGTTTTTTCCAATTTATTTACCCCCTAATTTTGATAGAGTGAAAATATATAGACTAAAGCGAGTCGCAAGTGTAGGGATTTTTGTTAAAGAAAGAATTATTAAAAATTATGCTGTAACTGCTGACATCCTACGCTACAAAGTAGTGTGTGTTTACGCTTTATTATATTAGCATATGACAGATTTTTACTATCAATAACTTACGATATGAACTGTAATAATGTAACTATTAATTTAATTTTTTTTTATAAAATACTTATAAAACACCATATAGAAACTCAGTTGTTAGAAGTACTCTCTGTTATAATTAGGCAGTTCAAGTTCAAGTATCGTTTTTGTAGTTTCAAACTTATTACGTTTTCTGCGATTATCTTTACTAACTTAATAGTTAATTTTCGCAGATTCCGCTTGTTAGCAAGCTAGACTAAGTAACTATAACGTGATTTTATTAACATTGTATTTGTTACAAATAATTTTAATAGCTTCTAGTTTAATTAACTACGATAGATAACTGAGCGACTGATTAAAGTCAAACGAAGGTTACTGATTGTATTTAATTTTCCTAACATAATCTAATTAACTGTTCTAAGGAATTTTAGTTTAACTCGGCGATAAACCAACAAAACGGATGAATTTAAATTAATCTAGTGTTTTAAGTAGGAAACGAGCACGAACTCAGTGTGTAGGCTCACAAACATAGTCGCAGCACAACTTGTAACTATTTTAACGTTATAACATCGGTCGTTGTTCATTCAATCTAAGTAGTAAATAGTATTGTAACAATTGTTTCCACTAACGATTACAATACATAGTCGCTTCTTAACTGAGATAAGAGAAAATATATATTTTGACAATAGAATCACACGTTAACATAGGACATACTATTTAAATATACTAACTTTTACCAGAGACAAGAAATCAAGTAATAAAATTTAGATATGACTGCAGTAAACACGAACGTGCAGTAATTAAATAAACGAGGTTATAGAATACAATAACAAAACAATCAATAATCACAACAAAAATGTTTATAACTTCAAGAATTATATTCAATTATATCAACGTGTAATAAAACATTAAAAATGACTAGCTTTCGCCCGCGATTTCGTGCGCGTGGAATTTAAAAAAACAAAAGTGAGTTGCCTATGTGTTCTTCTAGACTATCCTCTACATCTATACCAAAATTTTATCGAAATCTGTTAATCCGTTTAGGCTACAAACTCTAACAAACATCCATCCATCTAAACTTTCGCATTTATAATATTAGTATGATATGATTTATATGAACCGATCCTATAAATATAGAGAAAGGCTAATTGGATGGAAGTGGAAAATAGATAGAACTACTTATAAATAACAAGCTTTTTCCTGCGTCCTCGTCCTCGGTAATTGAAAAGAGAAAAATTTGACTAAGCTAAATAACTATTCATAACAAAATAGAAGCGAAAAGGCGAAATAAGATTTACGAACATAAACTTAAAAACTCTCACTAATCACAAGGCTTTTCTATTCGCAGACAATTTAAGTTAAAATTAGAAAGTTATTACATGTTTTTGTTTCTATCTATTAAAGCATAACTATGACGATTTGCAAGTCTATGAATGTGGTATAAGCAGTTATTAAGAATGGTATTGGCGGGGCCGCGTGTCAATCGCATGCGTTTGCGGGCGCAAGTTCAACGCACATCTAATTGTCGGCAATTAGCCGGCCGTTGTAATCGACAAGAGTGCTAAATATAGAGCAATGTTTCTACAACTTCGACCCATTCGCTTACTTAATCCGCACCTTTACTTTCAACTTTTCAAAGTGTCATATCGTCGTTAAAGTTGCAATACCATCGTATATCACTTTTTGGCTATTTTAATAAAATAAATAAAACACTATTTATTGGCAAGGAATTTTTTTATGATTTTTATGCCATTCGCTATAGAATAGGATAACGCATAATTTCAACCTATCAGAAACATGTTTTCTACATTAAATATATATAGTTAACTTTATAAAAACAGTGTAGTATGGTATCTTATTATGGGTTGCTGCGCCAACGCCGTAAGTATAGTATCTATACAAAATTATACAATTTTTCTCTCTCCTAAAAGCTGCTATTTATTAAATCCGTGGTATTAACTTCAACGACGATATCTAATTTATGGCCGGTTTCTCAGCTACTTTTAACGATTCGTTAGTGTTAGTGTATGGTTCGATAATAGATAAAATGTGTTTCGGAACTACGGAATTTGAGTTTTACTCTTTTGAAACTTAGGTAAACGTAACAGGAACGAATCGCTAGGTACCGATAAAATAAATGAACACTTCAACAACCCAACACCAATCAGATTAATAGACTAAGAATATATACATAGTAATATACATAGTACAAAATATTGATAGATTTATTGAAATTGAAATTGAAATTTATTGAAAAATAACAGATTAACAATTAACAATAAAAGTTAACCAATTAAAAGATAAATACAAATAATATATATTTGATAATACTATATTTGTATAGTTTGTTCATTTACTTTAAAATTCCACAGTGAAAAGTTACTGATATATTATAAGGCATGGAGTAAACTGAATTATGCTTTAAAATCTGAAATAAATAAACTACATACAAGTAATATGTTTTATTCAAATACTTAACCACTTTTAAACCATAGAAAAAAAGTAAAGACAAATTTTGTTTTCCTATCCTCTGTAAAAAACATAAAAAAACGTAGATTTTTTCGTAATATCAAAATCATGTTCAGTTGGTTGGTTATTTTTCTGTGAAAAAAAATCCCCAAAACATGACCACAGGTTGCAGGTATCGTGTTTCGGAGGTGAGGCCATAGAGCTGGCGGGTTCCGGTCGCACGCTCGCAAAACATATCTAACGAGATACCGAAACGTCGCTCCACTTTACCTTACTAACAATTTAAAACATAATCCACGTGACAGTTTCGTAGTTACATTCATCAGGACAACCTTATTCACTGAACAAGACTGCATATTTTTATAAGCTTGAGCAGTTAACATGATAGTTCGTTATATTGAAAATAAGTAACAGAAATGTAGTACGCAGAATTCGTTAAGCAGGTAGTTTTATTTCTCGGGAAGACGGTGACATAGAGTGGTCCTTTGTTGCCGTAACATTGTGAAGCCACAGGGAGAGTTTGATTGCCGAAGGTTCCAGTGTGTTCCTACGACTATAAGATCCCGGAACCTTTGATTATGTCACCTGTAGATGGCCACCGAGGGGGTTCGAGTGGGTCAAATCGTACGTAACCCTGCTTTCTCCCCAGAGAGCAAGGTGTCTTTGGAAGATTTCCCCTAGATACCAAAAATTAAAAATATAAGGTTTTATTTAGTTCATAGTATTTTTCGCTTTGGATGTTGAATGGAGTTCCCGCTTATTTATATAATACGTGGATTAGATCAAGTGATAAATGTTAATTAACTACGTTATAAAGCTATCTCAACATAGTTCAAACTTTTTTAAGCTTTTTAAGGTTTTGCTTCCGGACTATACTAATCTTCCGTGACAACACAAAAATGGTTTACGATCTGACCGATCAAGTCGAGTCATCTTATCTAAATCATTTTATCACAAAAAAGTAGATTCAGATTTTCCAGTTTAAAAGCGAAGTTTTTTTTATATAAACTTTTTAATAAAAAAACAAAACCGACTTCCAAACAAAATACACTAAAAACAAAACAAAATATTCTCAAAAAAACAGTACACTAAAA